CAGGATTTCCATGCTTGGGCTTCAGAGCCCAATTAGCTCATTGCTGAACGAGGCACCAACACCCTGATTCTGAGTGATGACAAACGCCTGCCGTGTCTCTCTCCACACCTAGGCACTCAGCTTTTCCAGAAACCCGGCTCAGGACTTCAGACTAACACCTGTATCTGCAGTACCCTTGAGAACAGCTCTGCATCTCCGTGCAGTGAAAACAGCAGGATATTCCTCCTAAGTTCTCTACCAGGAGACTCTCCTCCATCATCACACTGCTGACTCCTGTCCTCGCTGCTCTAGCTCTTCTAGGAAAAATATGAGCTGCTGTCCCCATCATATGGTAAATCACAGAGTAAGTGCACCAAACATCTGTGTAACAGCAAGGCGCCAGAAGCAGAATAGAACCTTCGTCGTGTAAAGGAACAGTTTAATTTCTGCAGACACAAAGCACTCTTTATCATGCTTACTCCGGCCTTAACAAAGCCCAGCTCAGCCAAGCCTCTGCTCTGCCCAGCAAACACCTTGGGCTGCGCTGCCAGAGCCCAGCGACAGGAGCAAGCCCACGCCGAAGGCACCACCTCTGCAGCTCCCCATCTTCCCCGCGTTCAGGCCCGGCGCAGTCTCCTCCCCGGAGCGGCACGTCCACACCTGGGAGAGCCACCCTGGGCTGTCCAGGCAGCGGAGGGGGTCGGGTGTGGGATTCAGCTCATCCCACTCAACGGCTCCAACAGGCCAGGCGAACTGCTCCGAGTATCAAAGGAGATCAGAGTGACTGCCTGAGGAACGGATGCGTGCATTCCAAGCACCTCAAATTAGGTGGGATGAATCCAAGCCACTTGAGGCGAAGACCTAAATGCTTCGTTTTGCTAAGGTCCCACGGATGCTGGGAAGTTCCCCGAGCCGTGCAAGGAGCCTGTTTCCACCCTGCTCCAGACTGAGCGGCGACGACAGGGGACCCACCACCAGCAAGCACAGTGCTGGCGTGTCCTGTGTCACCCTCGGAAGCAAAAGCCCACATTAGGAAAGTCATAGAATCCCAGCATGGCAGGGGCTGGAAGGGACCTCTGGGGTCACCCAGTCCACCCCCCTGCCAAAGCAGGGTCACCCAGGGAAGGCTGGACAGCACCGCGGCCAGGCGGGTGGGGGATACTT